TTTCCGCACACACACTTACTTAAGTGCACATATACATGACAAAGTCAGTCAGTCAGTTTAGTCCCTCATTTATACAGAGTTAGAGTCACTCATTTACATACTTTAATACGCTCCATTTTCTTTCGTTACACCGGAAGTGTCGTCCCTTATGGCATATGAAGTTGTTCCCATTTTTTTCTTCTCGACTTTTCGTTTATTTCAGACGGTTTTACTTGTGTTTTTTGCTTTTGTTTTTGTTCTTTGCAATTTCGTCATATTTTGTTGTTTACATTTTTGACGTTTGTCTCTTGTGCGCTCGTTATCGTTATCCTTTGACTTATGCCTGTGCGAAATTGTCCTTTTGTTTTCTTGTGGGGAAATGTAAAGTGCTCGCGCCGGAAAATATGCTATAAAAGTGCAATTTCAAAAACATCAAAGCGAAGAAATTTCAAAATTCCCTTTGAAGTACGCAAGCAATAATGGCTTTTGGACTGTTTACGACTGTGTATGTGTGTATATATGTTATCGCTGTTTAAGTATGAGTTGATGTTGGTCTTAGTGTTGGTGTTGGGGTTCGTCGACTGTTTGGTTTGGTTTGGTTTGGTGGTACACGTGCTCTGTGTCGTGCAATCTTTGTGGTAAAGTAGTGCAATAATGTGAACTACTCCAAACAAACGTGTAGTTAGACAAAAGTGAATTAAAAATTAAACAAACATTTTAGAAAAAAAATACAAAAAACAGGCATTTATAGACATAAAAGAATGACTACTTAACATTAATAATTTGGTATGTTTTCTCAATTAAAAATGCAGACTAAAAGTAAGACAAACACTGTGCTGAGATGAGCGAAGCTTTACCATTGCTTTGAATTATTATGAACTCCGAACAGAGGTCAATTGGATTAATTGATGTTAAGGAGGGAATTTTACATTGTGTGTAAGAGAAAAGTGTGTGAATATATTAAAAATTTATTTAAAAACTTGTGTTTTATGGTGTCAAAAAAGAGTTCATACAAATATGTGTACAGTTTGGCTTAAAAATTTTATTATTAATTACAATTGATGCGAATGAAATAGTAGAAATAGGACATAATCAATTAAAACTTTATTAGATTATTGCATAACTGGTATGGATCCTAGTATTTCTCTAGAAGGACTCGTAGCTGAGTCTAATCCCAAGTACTCACACCCTCCGAAAAGAGAGCCTCCATGTGGTAATCCCTGGTTGATTATTTACATTCCTTTAGAAGTAGTATTTTACTAGACGGACTCGCAAGTGAGTCTAATCCCAAGTACTCACACCATCCGAAAGGAGGGCCCCCATGATCCCTGGTTGATTATTTGCAATCCATTAAAAGTTTTCTAATTCCTTTAAAGTTAAAAGATATAATTTTATTTGGAAATTTGATTGTTTTAAATTAGTTAAAAATTTAATATTAGTGTTTAATCTTATTTCTGTATAATAGGTTTAAAACGTAATTATTTCTTAGTTTTCCAATGTCATCAATTTATTCTATTGTTATGAAATAGTTAGTAAATAGTTACAAAATATCGCAGAAGAGCAGTCAATTTCTTAGAGGATTTGGAAGCATTGGAGAGATATAACGTTATAAAGTGAACTTCCAGAGTATAGAATTAGATAACGTGGACTTAGATGATTACTAGATCAATTAATTTTACTTTACAGTAATGGACAAAAATATTATATATTACAGATCGGTAGTTGAAAAATGCTGATCTATATCACCAGCTACATCATGTTACCTCATTTTAATGATATTTTCATTTTGAATCTAACGAATACTAAAATTTATTAAATAATAAATACTTTAAAAAAAGTGTTAAAAGTTAGTTAAAATATTTTGAAGTTTTAACTTAAAAATTTTTATTTTTAAATTTACATAGTACTTTAGTTGAGAAAAACAAAAAATTAAATAAAATATACTAAGAATAAAGCCTTTGTCCTACCAATTATGTGTAGCCTGGGGGTTAATAATAATAATTTTCTTTTGTACACAAAAGTCTCTTTGACTTCATCACAAAAGTACCACTTAAAGTGCATCACCCAAAAAAAATTTCCTCAGGTTTTTCATCATTTATTTATTTATTTTTTTTGTGTTTTCGTAATTTTTTTGTTTTTTTGCCGAACACAAAGTAAATATAAACTTTGTTTCATGTTTTCTTGCATAGAATTTTCCATTATATTTTTTCATTTGTTACAATCGCAAATGCACTCTCCTTAACCCAGTTTTCGAAGAGCAAAAGACAGACGTCCTTTGATGTTCCTGCAAGAGCCGAAAGTGTTAAATTTTAAGCATTTTGTACTTTAATGACTACTTTTCGTAGCATAAGAATAGCATAATTTACTTCTTATATGAAGGAAAGGCAGAAAAATTCTCTTGACACCTTTAAAAAGGCTGCCGTTTGTTGCCAGGTTCTTGGTCTCATAAACATGTTCAAGATATTGTTAGAGTAGATTCGTATTTGAGTCCCTTTGTTTCGTATTTACAAATATATATATTTTTAATACATTTGTATAGCAGGTAATATTTTTATACTGCTTATGTCCTTTGAATGGTAAACCACAAAATTTTTAAGCTATTCCGCAAGTACGAGCATTTTTTTTTCATTTAATAGTAACAGTAGCAATTATTGTCAGATTTAATCTAAAAGAAGACCCTTTGGTTTATTGCAATTTTAATTAGGCAGTACTTATATGATATAAAATTATCTTTTTTTGCTAATGGCAATATAATCTCTTATAATACTATATATTTTTTGAGAGTTTTCATAAAAAAAAATTTAACTGTAGTTAAATTGTTGAGTTGCATCGAATTTTTCCTTTTTGTTTTTTTTTTCTTTTACTACCTGTACTTCTGCCTTCTGCCTTTTGTACTACATTTCTAGTTCTTATTAATGTTTCAATTTATCTATATGCTTACAACCGCAAGTATGAATGTTAGTTTACGCTACTTGAGCTCTTTGATTAGATGGGTAAAGAAAATATTCAATAATATTAACTAGAAAAGAAGTCTATACTATGCCTAATACAAATTTATTTAAAGCCGTCGATAAATTGTCCAGACCGAATTATAACACACTATCGTAATACGGAAATCTTCTAGGTTCCCAGTATGATTCGAAGCCAAAATTACTTAATAAGTAATTTATATCAAAAGTATAATTTATAACTAATAATAATAATACCGTTTTGTGTTATTCTCTGATCACGACTATAGGATGTACTCTTAGACGTGTTCTGAATAATTGTTTCGCAAAACATATGATACAGAACATACAATGTATTTATTGTATCCTGATATGGATCGAACAATATATCCTAAACTCACATAAACTATGAACTCAAATTTTTACTGACAACTAAAACTCTACATAATTTTATGCCATTTCCTTATCGGAAAATATTAGATTTCCTTATTTGTGTTATTTTATGAAGTATTGCTGCGTCCTTGATGCGGAACAAATTTGATGCCCTGACCCTAAAGATAATATGAATTTTAGTCCAATACTTCATTTTAGTCCTATACTATACTTCGACCTCATTTTTACTGAAAATAGGTAGATAGATCAGATACTAAGATGAGTTCTGATCAGGACCGGTTTTGATAATCAGGAATAATTTAGTGATGCAGCCATTTTTCTGTAATGCGTTTGACCCCTGATCTTACCTAGATTTTTAACACAATTATTCGAGCAGGTTTCAGATGACATCCAAAACAAATGTGTAGCTAAGATACATAAAAATTGAAGATTTTTATTTTACTTTTATCTTTTAAAAATTAAGAGAAATTGCAACAAAGAAGCAGGTGGCATTTGCTTCAATTTTATGCTTCACTTATTAAGGAAATACCTTCTGAATTTTAAATATTTTATTTAAAATTAATTTTAATGACTTATTCAAAATGATAATACATAAAAAGCTCATTAACATTTTATTTATATCAGAAGTATTTAATATTAAAAATATTACGAGTTGTGTGTGCAAGATATTTCTAATTCTTTTTTATGAAATTATTCTTTCGATTTCTAAGTCCCATTAGCTGGCACTTTTATTATACCTTTTTGGTTTTGTGTATTTTTCTGTTTTTGTAATACTGTTAACTGGTACTTTAATAGTTTCTCTTTTTATATGGGAGTTGGGGTAGTATACTTCTTAAATGTTATGAATAAAACCAATATAAATTTAATATTAGAATTTAAACTTATTATTTTTAATAGTATTATATTTCGTTAAAATATAAAAACATTAATAAGAAATTAAGCCACTTTATAATGGAAAAATGTTCTGTCTTAGTGACATTCATAAACATCCATAAGAAAGACATCCATAAATGTCATTAAAAAGCCTCTTTGTAATGGGAACTTTTTCGAAATGTCTAACTTGGTTAATTTATTAAAAAGGTTTTATATATTATTATTTATATTTAAGAATATATTTAAGAGCTACGTAATCACATATCAACCTTACAGCAATTATTGAAAATGTTAAAAAATTTTGAATTTTTTTTAGGCTTTGAAAATCTTTCATACACATTTAAATAGATATTTATCTAAAAACAATATACAAAAATAGATATTCAATCAAATAATAATGAAAGAAATTATTCAACTGAACTACAAATTAAATAATTTATAAATATATTGTATCAATGAAATCAACTTAAAGTCTCATTGTGGTGCTAATTTTGAATATAAAATATTATGAAACAAATGACAATTGTGCAACCGTTAAAATAAAAATTATTACAAAAATAATAAAAAATTTTGAAATAATAAATAAAATTAAAGGCAATAAAAGAGCAACAAATTTAAGTGACAAACAGCCAAGAGAACATAAAAATTTATTTCGTTTTAGTCATCGCAAAAATTAATGAATGTAAAGCAATTAAAAGCAATAAAAATTAATTTAAAATTTCTAAAAAAAAAGTCAAAAAAAATCCAAAATGAAATTGTGTATGTAAAAATGAAAATTTTCTTAATGAATTACAGAGAATACAAAATATTGAAAAAAATGTAAATACTACAAATTAGAGAAGCATTAATTGAACATTTTGAAACGATAAAAGAAATGCCATTTCATAAAATTTTAAGAAAAAAGTAATTTGTCAGTGTTAAAAGCGAAATACTTCGACAATCACATTGACATTTTTATCAATGCAAAAATGCATTGCAAGCGTATGGAGTTTTATCTTTTCCTGAGCATTTTGCTATTAACATTCATGGTAGCAACTTCCGCTCGACTCGAGAAACGCAATAATAACAATAACAACAATCATAAGCGACAGCTCAAACAACGAAAACAACAACAAAATCGAAATTCGTCACCGGCCAGCAATAGCTTTTTAGCCAACAGCGATAATGAGGACTTTGCATACAGCGATCAAGAGTCCGATTCACAAGCGGATTCAGGAATGCAGGCAACAGATACAGATGGAAATGATAAATTCAGTTACGGTAAGTATTGACTAGTCACTAGTGAAATCAATTATTATATAGATGTGACAATAATTCCGGAAGCAAGGTTAATAAGGTTACAAAAGTAACCTAAATTTTAATTAGTCTATTATCCACCAAAACTTCATCAAGATACCATCAAAGATTTGAAAATAAGATATTAACGAATAAAATAGTCTTTAGTATTTATATTAGAGCATTTACTTAACACCAAATTATATGTATTCATTTATATTGTTTGAAGAAGAGACTGTTTATAAAACAATCTCTTCGGTCTATTTCATTGACTTTACATTATCTATTTTGATAAGTCTTGTCCAATAGACAAGATAATGAACTGTTTATGGAACAATCTCTTCAGTCTACCTACTTCATTTACTTTACATTATATATATTGATAAATCTTGCCTAATAGTCCTCACAAGCCAACCCGACTAATTGCTTGCTGTTGCCAGTTAGTATATCGAGTATAGTCAGATCATTTGTCACCTGATTTTTATATAGAAAACGCAAACACCGTCCATATTTTAACAGCGGGTGCCGATTTTTCTACTCAGAATTTACTGAATTTTTATACTCTTATGTCAATAGCATATTATGTCAATATCACGGTATGGCTCATATAGCTCTCATTCCGTCAAATTCGTTTCTCTTTGCCAATACATACAAGTTTATTAATTAATTATTATTTATTATTTAATTTAAATCGTATTCTGTTAGGAGCTATTCTTGTGACATTATTCTAAGACACTAAAGAACTTTGTACGGGAATACATTTAATAAATAAATAATGTAATCATTTAAAACTTAAGAAAAACTATAATTAAATTGTTTAAATAATAATAAAATTATAGCCCAATAAATTATATTTCAATTATATAAATTTCATTATTATTTTGAAAACTAGGGTTCTGAAATCATAACCTGATGAAACATATTAATTTAGAAATTAACTGGTATTGAAATGGAAAAGATATTTCACAGCTGCTTTAAAGTTTTATAGTGCTCTCTGTTTGGATTCTAAATATTCTTCTAATAACATATAATAACATATAACATATTATAAGATTCTTATAATAACAATTACCCAACAATTTGTAACATTGAACCTACGAGCCCTTCTCCTTCATTTAACAAGGGCCACGCAAGTGAGTCTTTCTCTGACAACAGAACATGAAAACCAGTTTCAAAATAAATAAAGGTCGTCCAAAGCATGTTTACCCACGCATATAAAAATAAATCACTGTTTATGGTTGTATTTTGAGCACCATTACAGCAGATTTTTCCAAGTACGACCCAATAATGTCATCAGACAGTATACAGTAATAAACAAGATAGGTTAGATAGGTTCTTCTTAACAAGATATGTTACAATTTCAATACTATTAGACGAAAAGCTAACCTCATGGTGTAACACACTGTAAACATTTCTAATAAATATATTATTGTTAACTAATTTTAACCGATTTTAACTATGTTTTATTACAATTATAAATCACTAATACTGGTATGATGATATTATATATAATTATACCATTATTATTTATATTAAATTGATTTTGAACGTCCGTTTTGACGACAGAAACTAAATTTTTAATATAAACTATAATTTTCAATAGAGGGGATCTTATCGGATAGTAGTGAAATTGTAACAAAATAAAATTTTTTAATTAATTTTTAATTATTAATTAATTAAATTATTGGCTGACCATACAGCTATTGCGAGTATTCCCAAACATCCATTATCAGTTGTCATGGAAATATTTCATATATTTCGTATACGAATAACCCTTAGACCTTATTTCTTAATATTTTTCTTGAACTTTCAAATCAAAACAGGTCCTTGAGTGTTACGAGCTTCTGCAATCACTTGCAGCTCCGAATAAGGTAAGCCTTTACTGGGTTCCGGGCCACAGAGGAGTTTTGGGAAATAAAAATGCTGATGAGCTAGCCTGAACTGCATCAAAAACTACTTTTATAGGCCCTCAACCCTTTTGTGGAATAAACTGGGCCAGTACAAAACAGATTATCAAGGAAATGGAAAATCATATGCGGCTGGAGTACTGGGTAAATTTTCCAGGACTCAGACAAAGCAAAGCACTAATAACACCCTACTCCTACAAAGACATTCTTAAATTCTCAAAATATAATTTACAGGTCATTATGATCTGAAATATCACCTTCATAAACTACAATTATCTGCTAACTCGGAATGCAGATTATGTCTCAAAGATGAGGAAACGACCATGCACATTCTTTGTGACTGTCCAGCTTTAATAACGCACAGAAGAAACCTGTTTCATAAATAATTTCTGTCACGAGAACAGACTAAGAACTCTTCTCTAGATTTAGTTCTAGACTTCATTCACAAAGCTTTAAGGGGCTTTGTTTAATCAATAGTGAAACTGGTACAATAGGTCTCTTCTGGACGCAGTACCGGCAATTTTCAAGTCTACTCTTTAATAAAAAAAATAAATAAATATTTCCTAATATCACAAAGCAAATAATTATACTTGAGTTGGTTACAATCCATATCCCTAGAGATCCCTTTTTTTTTTGAACTATTATATCCGCTTAAGCGGATATTAAATACATAACCTCATATAGAGCAGTGGCCAGTGGCACCGATGGATACATTTTGTTCCCCGTGCAACAAAATTGTCACATCCACATCACTACCACTTACATGGTTAAAAGACCGAAAGCATTTTAAAATATATGTAATGAGCTCTGTAATTCATCTTCAGTTTCAGATTTTGTATACTTCATCTACTTTGTCTTTTAATTTATTTGACATTTAAGGCGATCAAAATGTAAAATTGTCTCAGATGCAGTTGACATTTTATGCATCAGTTAAAAAATCGTAGACATATGGATTAGTTCCCCCAACTCAAGATCATATACCTACATACATAACTAAAGTAGGTGCGATATTTAATTATTGTTGTATATCTCCTTTAATTCGACTACTTAAGTTAATCAGAAAATAATTAGACATCGCTCTTCTCCGTTGTGCCTCGTTGGTGATGCTGCAGAGTGAAGAATTGAATTTGTGATGCTCTTGCCACCATTGCCACTGCTGCAGTAGCAGGGAAAATATTTGATTTGTAACCATAAGATTGTGCAAATTTCAATATAAACGCACTTCCTCGATTCTGGAACAACAACGTTGAATGATACACTGATGCGGGCAAACATGTGTGACATGTGGTAAAGCGTTAAGCGCAAATAATATGACAGTCAGACATTTGTGCCACCGACAACACTTCATTCAGCTCCGACAGACATAAACAGGCCGCACTGCCTGTTGGCTTGGATTTGGTTCTTTTGTTTTCGTATTTTTAAAATGAAAACAAAAAATGTTTTGTCATTTGCCAGAGTTGCGGGCTTATTTTCTGTGTATTATTATAATAATTCTTTTTAAATTTTTTATATAGGCGTATAGTTTAGTATATAATATTACTGTATATAAAAATACTTTTTTTTGAGATCAAAAACGCTCATTAATTAAGTGTGTAATTCTTTGGTGCGATGTGCGCATGTTGCGTTAATGCGATTTCAAGAATTTCGAATTTTGAAGATATTTTTAAGTACATCATCACTTTGAAGTTTATAGTCTCTCTGATTTAGTTGCAGTTTCGCAACAACTTAGAAGCGATAAACGTAAATTGCATGATTAAGAAGATTTTATGAATAAAGAAATTTTTAATTCGCATAAAGTCAAGAAAATCTAATTTTAATTATGCCATGATAAATTAAGAAGATCGAGGACTACAGAAACTGTTTAATACTCGCACATTTTAAAAATAAATTTAAATCATAGACTAAAGCATATATAATGATATATGACTATCTTCATAAAATAAATCTCATAGTAAAAGCATGCATTTGACTAATAATCCTCTAAGTGAATAATTAACAACAGATTTACGTACTATTACTTCAATTTACGAAAAAATTAATATTAAATTAACGATTAATTTTTAATAATATAAAACTTGAAATATTCAAAATTTTTTATAATATTCGTTTCATTGAATTTATAAGTGATAGCCGAAATCAACAAAATTATTAATATCGATCAAAATAATCAATATCCTAAGTCTCTATTGTGTTTGAAAATAATATCAAATATATACTAATCTAGTATTGCCTTGCGCCTCCCGTCGCAATTTCACAAGTGTTAGTTTAACCAAATACTCTCAATTTCTGAATGTTCATTGCGTTGTTCTTCAATTTTGTTTCTAGTTCTCATGTCTGTATCTTTTAAAGTACAACTTCTTCGATGTAAATTTTACATGTTTAAATAAAATATCAATAGTAATTTAAAGTAAAACAACAAAAGATTTCATCCTTTATTTCGATTATAGTCTATAGTCATGTTCAGGGTACTGAAGATGAATAGAAGATGAAAACATTTCAACATTTCCATGTACATAATTTGCGTACAAATATACAAAATCTCATTCATGTATATACAATATCAACATTTATGAATGAAATTTTGATGAAACTTTTATTTCAATACAAGGTCTATATTTGTTACGACTCTAAAATACAATATTAAAATATTAGTTCTTTTTGAAGTAAATTTCAATGAATTATTGGCACAAGTAAATGGTTTTTTAGAAAAGGTCGAGAGTTTGAGGATTGTTCACAGAAACACGATCCATCTCGCTCTTCCACCTAGTGATGAGAAATTGCATGACTCACGTCGGCGAGACGTAGGACTATATGTCTGAGAATATTACTTGCGCAACAAAGTCCAATATTAAACATATGTTAGGTATTATCTGGTAGCATTCTGTTAAAAGCACATATCTTCCATATTTATGTAAATCTTTAGTTATACACATTGGTACCTAAGTGGCTGGAGCGATCAAAATTGACAGTTTATGTTATACCTTCGGCCTTTTTAAAAAGTATGGACTTCTCACAACCCCAGACCAATAAAGCCACAGCATATATTGACTCTTTGTGGTTTGTTTTCTAATACACCCA